ACTGACAATCACAACAAACATGATGATGATGTTTCATACAGAACGAAGTAATAGAAGTTAGCTGGGACCCGATCAAAATAGGAAGAAATACATATCACTACAGTTAACAATCTAACTAAATCAAATATATTTTGTTTGTCCATAAAGCTTACCTGCAATCCGATTTCAATCACTCGCCAACAAAGCTCTCCAGCTCCCAGCGAAGTTCTTCCCCTGAATATACAACAGGTACACTGTGATAAGCAGAAAGTCCTCCATACGAACAAAGCATGAAAGCACTACAACGAACGGCGCTAAATATACAGTAAATAAGAACAAACTAACCTTTATGTCTGCCTTTTTTCAGCCTCGATCAACTTTCGCGGTTCAACAACATGGGCAACCTGATCTTGCAAAGAATGCTGGGAAAGTTCACTCACCTCGCGAGTTACCCGCGCGAGCTGTCGTGAAAACATGAGATGGTGGAGTGCATGTACTGTTGAACCATGTACAGTCGTAGACACCATCAATCCAGCAGGACAATGAACTGCTAGCTCCTTCCAAGCAATCCAAAGCCGTCGCAGCAAGCCAGCTGACTACACTGAAACACTTCCAGCGAGGACCACCTCGCTTCTCAGTTACATAGGTCGGACTAGCATGTCCTCCCAAAAATGCACGCCCCTTAAGGCCTGCAATTCTCCCTCGCTGGGAACACGACACTCGCGCCTACATCTTTTCTTAGGACGTACGTAATTGATTCAACTAAATTATACGACCTTTAATTTTACTTTAGTTTTAAAACAGCCCCCGAGCGTGAAATCGGTTTGATTTGACAGAAGATTGACAGATATAGCAACACGTGGACGTACGCATGGTCCGCAGTCGCGTGACCTGATGCGTCTGACAGACGTAAACGTCCATGTGTATAGTATTTTCCACTTTGACTTCCAACGAGGCAGTCGCATTGTGTTGGTTGTCATGTTTTTGCTTCTCGATTTCGGTGGTTGTTGAAGACGACGGTTTTCTCAGGTGAGTGATATCAGCTTTGTCTGCGCGTCAAAGCTCTCTACTTCCGCTTTTGAGTTTCTGCACACGTTAGTTACGCGTGTACGCTCGGCTTTCGAGCAAAATTACAGATGGTGGAAAGTAAGCAAGCCTTGTCTAGATGTTCGAAAACATTGTACAGAAATGATCAACATACTTCATTTGCTAATCGCTTGATCATCCTTGAACAATCGGCGACAGCGTGTAACGCTGCGGGCCCTCTCGAACTGCATTCAGTTCTATTTATTTGTGAAACGTTCGATCAAAGCAGTGCCCCAAAAGTGGGATAACAGTTGTAGGACAGCGTTTGCCTCTGACTGTTTTCCAATTTGTTTGTGTCATGTCTGCTCAAGACAACAACTTTGATTAATGCCGTGACTCCGAAACTTACACGAAACGATAACCGAATTCTGTCTGACTCAATCGAAACCCGGCGAATGTCAATTTCTTCCAATATCTTTGTTGTTTACCTTCTTGTGATCACAGCACTATATGGCTAGTGAATTTGCATAATTTTCGGCCTAAAAAAGAATTTCACGTCAGATTTGCTCTGAAAATGTGCACACTAGCACTGTAAGGAAGGAACATTAGGGGAAACTAAATACATGTATATGTAGCAATGTTTACACTTAAAGGGTTTTTTTCCCGAATAGCCGGAAGAAAAATAAAAATAGCACGAGAACAATTTAACTAGGACTTTTCGGCTACACGACTGCACGAAGTCTGATGCACTCAGTAATTGAAAGACAACAAACTCGGGAAAAACTTCTTTCTTTGCAAATGGTCGTCGCATGATTGACTGCAAATTATTTCTTTCAAGTCAGAATAACTTAAAACAACGTACTCACGCGAACGGAAACTTATCTGTGCGAGCTGCTTTTCAACTTCTGGAAAACCAAATATCTGCTATTATTCTTTGAACCTTTAAATGTATAAAAAGTTGACAAGAAAGTAAAACAGTGCTGTCTCTACAAATAGTGTTCTGTCTTACCCCGTTATGTCCCGGTTAGGAATCGAGTTTGCAACTTACGCGTGAAGGTTTGAGTTCACGGCAAACGGCCGCGTGAGTGTTCATGGTTTATGTCACTTACACTTATTTTTGGTGGCCGATGCAAATTCAGTTTCATGGAGCGAAAAAACTTGGGTTGATAATCTGCTTTGTATGGTCGAGGGAGCACTCGTCACGAACGGCGACAAATAAAAGCGCGAGCTATCTCGAACAGGGTCTCTCAAACGGTTGAAAAGTAACTTGGATAGAGTGTTTAGATGTTTACAGACAATTATTTTGAGAACTGTATTGCAGTCTTACGGTATGACACTAATAAAAGAAAAAGTGTAGAGCCCCCTCCCAGATATCTCTTGCATATCTGATCTGCAGACATTTGATAGACAGCTGCCAAAAGCAGGGTGGTAATCCTGCCATTTTTGCCTGCACGTGTACATTCGCGTGACCTTACAGTATACAACCTACAGTCGGGTTTGGTTATTGCTGCCGATAGGCAGCGTTCATATTCTTGAAGGCATTTGAGAAGTTTCGTTGGTTCGTTGGTTCG